TGAGCACGAAAAAAATTTTTCCCCATTCACCAAGTTTCTAAAAAAATTCAAAAACCAAGATGGCGATTCTACTTTTTTTTTGTAAAAATACTTCTTTAAAAATCAATATAGGCATCAATTTACCTATAAATTACCGTATCTCCCGGAAAAAATTAAGTATTTTCCCCACTTCAATAAGGCCGGTGGTTTCTACGAGTGGCTTCCTAGCCTTAAAAATTGTCGTCAATGTCTTCAGTGTACCCAGTATGACCTTTTTTCTAATACCCTCTTTATCAAGTATCTCCCCAGCCCCTCTGTAAAAGCACATGTTTGTGAAAAAGATGAAATCCCCCTTTGCTAATTTTTTTTTACCCCCTCCGTGACAGAGATATGTCTATCTTCCTCCTCTCTTTTCTACTGTGTAGGGGTATTCTTTCTTGAGAAATGGAAAAGAAACCTTTGAAACTGCCCTGGACGACCCTTTAAAGAAAAAATTGAATAAATTTTCCTTATAAACTCTCCCAGCTCACGGACTGATTTCAGCACTGCACGAAATCCGCCCTGCATGATGGAAAACGAATGGAACCATGCTAGCTTTTTTTACCCTATATAACTATCACGAAGAAAGAATAGCAGTATTTTTTACTCTGATAACGTTTCCCAAAAAAATTTGGTGGAACCATAGGAGCCCCCAAGGTGAGAAATATGGGGTGGGAAGAGGTTGGCAGCAGCAGCGAGGGAGTGGAGGTGTCGGCCCTATTTCTGCGCAAAATGTTCCTTGAAGACAATTTTAATTTGGGGAAAATACGGGAGTTCATAAAGGGATTATCCCGGTGAGAGCTGAGTGAGGACCACGCAAGGTGCGTAGCGTCCCCGAGGACGCAGCACAAGGTACAGCAGTTCCCTTTGGGACGCAGCGCCCCAAGGTGCAGTAGTGTCCCGAAGCGATGTCTGTGTAACTAAATATTTGTAGGGGCGAGTCTCGGTTCCTCCCCAAACCCCCGTCTCCCGTCTTTTTGATGCCCTGATGGCCTTATTTATTTCATAGCCTTTAACACTAACTCCCTGTCTTTAAATTTTTGTAAGGAGTTTCCTTGTTCATTGCCTTTTTAAAATTACCGGCTGTGTTGTCATTATAATAAATTACAGTCCTTTACTTTGCATTTTTAATGCTTAAAATTATATATATATTATTATATATTTTAAAATATATATATATATTTTATATAATATATATATATAATATATAATATAATATTATATATTATATTATATATATATTATTATAATATATATATATATATTAGTATAATATTTTTTACATTGTTATATATATATATATATTATTATTATATATATTTTATTATATTTTTATATTTTATTTATATTTTTATATATTATATATATGTCGTCCCCGAATATGAAAAACTGGTAATTAGCAAGAACTCATTTAAAAAAGTCCTTTCTAAAATTTTCTTTATACGTTTAAGTTAAATTTTTTTCCTTAATTTTAATGTAAAAAATTTTTAATTTTTGCCCAAAAAAGAGTTTGAAAACTTCCCCAAAACCTTATTTAACAGGAAAAATTTTTTACCCTAACCCAACTAAATTATTTTAGATTTTTTTTTACAATAATTTTAAATAAAAACAAACACGTGAAATATATTTTTTTTTAGGTTCAGAATGTTTTTGGGCAAAATTTATTGCATACACAAATTTTCGTTTGTCCTACAGGGCCCAAGATGAGCTTTGTTTATTTAACCCCAAGATCGCAATTTCCCTGTTCGGCACGAAAAATATATATTATTTTTTAAATATATATATATATATATATATATATATATATATATATAATATTAATATTTATTTATTTTTTTTATTTAGTAATTTTAGCAACTACGAGGTCAAAAAAATACAGGTAAGAGAGCTGCCAAACCCATTATATGATAGCTTACGGGCTGGCTTAAAATTAACTTAAGTTTAAATATATATATATATTATATATATTTTATTAATATATTTATATATATTATATATATATATATATATATAATGTGTTGTGTGTGTTGTATAAAAATTCCCCTTTGTGGTGGGTGGTAAAAACGGCAGGGAAAAAACGTGAGTACTTTATCAGTGAGTGCCCCCTCTCTCTGCTGCGATGCCCCCTCTCCCCGTGTGGTGCCCCTTGTTGTAGTCCCACCTCTGTGCTGTGGTGCCACCTGTGCGTGCTGGGTTGGCCCCATGAACAGGGACGGAAAAAAAAAGCCCAAAGAAATGTTATTTGAAAAAAAATTCTCAGCTTGGTACAATATAACAAGCTGTGTTCATTGACACAGATATTATCTTGAGGGTGTTATGCTGAGGGCTTTATGTGTGAGAGCTTAATCCCTTCTGAGGGTTAAATATTCTTGCTGATGATGAAGAGGTTACTATGAGCCTTTAATGACCCTCGGTAGTGATAGGTTAAAAACCTCTTTAACCCAAAACCCTCATTTACTCAATCTGTACTTTAAAATGTTTTTTTTTTTACATGGTTTTAAAGAACACATGATACGGGCCTCGTATAGTTTTACAGTCATAGTGAGATTTACCCAGGATGCCCAGAAAGTCAGGATTTTTTACCGTTTGACGAAATGACCGTTGTTATCTAACTGGACACCAACTGTTGCTAGAAGGTACCGTGTGGCGTGGCAGGGGAAAGGGTTTTGGGTGAGGTGGTGGTGTTATGAAAGGTGGTAAAAGGCTGTGACAATGATTGTTCTTACAGATTGACATAAAGGAAACTCACATGATCAGTAGCAATAGTTTCCCACCACCATACTAGCAGTCCTCTCCCCCCCCTTATTAGTGGCCCTCACCACACCTAGCTGTTCAACCACCACCCATCACCACCACTTGTATCTTAATCATGTTTTCCTCAATTTTGTCATTAAAAAAGGTTTGCTCGTGTTACAGTATGTGGTGAGACTGTTTATTATGATCATTCCCGAGTTTTCTACATCGAGAATTGTGGAGAATAGGAGGATGTAGGGTGCTAGATGAACCAAGAGGGGCCAGGTTGGAACCCCCTGCTACATCTCTGCCACAGCTAGGTGGGGTTTTTGTAGGTTTTTATTTTTGTTTCCCCGTGGCAATGAAGAGGGATAATTTTGGTAGCTGTGATAAATTTTTTCAAATTTCCCAATTTCTGATATTTAATTTTTTGCGAACCCGTCATTTTTTTGTGACCCCATCAAAACTACTTCACAGTCAACCAGAAGAAAGTTTACTGTACAGGGACCAGTAATTCGACCGAAAAAGGGTTTTCAAAATGAGGAAATTGTGAAGTGTTAAGCAAACAACTTGAAAAGGTTTTTCGTCGGAAACGAGGGGATACCAAAAAACCTAGGGAAAAGGGTACACGTCGAGATGGAACCTACACACAACGGAGAAAAGGTAAAGAAAAATTAGATGCAGATACATCAAAGGCAATGGGACCCGAGAAAATGCCTATGCGATTCTGGCGAGGGTGCAGAAGCATTTTTTGACATTGCTAGGATTAAAGCATTGTGCAGTTGCCGAGTCTGGAAAAACAGCAAGGGACACACACAGTTGAACCACACACCATGCAAGGGAAAGGACAACTTATGGGGGAGATGGTAAACACTTAAAAAAGTGGTTTTTGTAAACAAGGCTTAATGTAGAAAAAACAAAAACTTGTCTTACAAACTTTTTCGGTTCTGTGAAAAGTAAAAATATATTGGGGCAGGAGAGAGGGATGAGTAGATTGCATTTTTTTTGACTACTAGAAGGCATTTCACTGTATTCCCTTGTTGCCCTTGTGGGTTCAGGGGTTTGTTTTTATTGATTTTAATATGTACCCCACAAAACTGGGACAAAGACAGGTCAGGTTAACAGGTAACTAGTCTGGTGGTCAAAGGGGAACCTTAAGGGAAGGGAAATAAATGATAGTAAGTGGTTACTTTTAGTTCAACCCCAAGTAAAAAGGGAGGCATGAAGTTTCAGGAAGGAGAATGAAGACCGGAAATGGAGTAAGACTAGGAGATGTGGCAGCAGATTTATAGGAAAAACCTAGGGGAGTGAACATTTTGCCCAGTATAACGCCAGAGGTTCACGTCAGCCCAATAACATCTGCAGCGTTCTGTCTGGCGTCTGGGGTGGCCTTCAGGGAATTTTAACAGTTATTCCGAGTCCTTTTTATAGTATCATCAGGCCCCTTTGGGTAGAGCAACGTACGGAACCCCCATCGGAAAAAAAAAAATACTAAGAAACCCTTTGAAAAAGTTAAATATGCAACAAAGGGTTGTTAAAGTTTTAAAAAGGATGATGTACGAGGTAAGGCTGAATGGGAGTGAGGCTCGAAATAGATGACTAATTTTATTCGTTTCAGGTAACTTTCATGCCCAGACACAATTTCAATATGCATGTGTTTTTTAAGTTTAACACGTGTTTGTTGAAGAATCAGGTACTAGTAGACTTGCGTGAGTGTTGAAAGATAAGATACTTGTGTGTTTAATAAGATACGCGTAGGCTTGTGAGTGTTAAATAAGATATTAATAGGCTTGTGCACGTTGAATAAGATGCTAGTAGGCATGTATTAGACTAAGATAATAGTAGGCTTGCGTGTTAAATAAGATACTAGTAGACTTGTGTGTGCTGAGTAAAATACTAGTAGGCTTGTGTGTTTTTTGAAGAATTAGACACTATAGACGTGTGTATGCCTGTTGAAGGATATAAGAAACTAGTAGGCTTGTGTATCAACATCATTAGCGAACACTATGCTAATGCTCCTACATCCATCTTAGGACAAAAAAAAAAAAATGTCCTCTTCCTGAGAGCGAGTCAGTATTAGTTATAACCTCAGAGACAAATTTCAAGTAATTGATGCTGCTTCTCCCTTCCTTGGCTCAAACCTCATTACCTCCCATTATCCGTTTGTTATATGACCCTTATGAGTTTAGCTTTATGAATATAATAATAGTGATGATGATAAGATAGAGTTGATATGAGTGTCTCGTCAACAGGCTACGGACAACAGCCTCCTGTTCCTCAGCTCCGCCTGCACCACAGCAGTCGTATCCACCCCAGCAGTATCCACCCCAGCAACCATATCCACAGCCACCATATCAACATCAGCCATATCCACAGCAACCATATCCACCTCAGCCGTATCCCCAACAACCGGTATGCATTAAAACTTCTCCGTTCTTTCTCGTTAATTTTCCAATGAGTTTTGTTCTTAAAAGACCATTAAAGAGTTAATATTATGGAATACCTGGAAATCATGTACATGAATCATGCTGATGACTGGATGTTATGATAAATCATACTGACAGAACTGAGCCTCGTGGGACACTCAACCACGGATTGATTTGACAGATTAGATAGCGTAATCATACGTTATGTACCCGTCGTGTGGGAGGCAGTCAAAGATTACAGAGGTACATAAGAACATAAGAACGAAGGAACACTGCAGAAGGCCTACTGGCCCATGCGAGGCAGGTCCAAGTCTCCTACCGGCTTAAGCCAATGCACCCAACCTAGTCAGGTCAGGTCACATTGACTTAAGGGAGGAACACGGCAACCGACCTGTTAGCACAAGCTATCAGGTCTAACTCACACCCACCCACATCTACTCATGTATTTATCCAACCTATTTTTAAAGCTACACAACGTTCTGGCCTCTATAACGGTACTTGGGAGTTTGTTCCACTCATCCACAACTCTATTACCAAACCAGTACTTTCCTATATCCTTCCTGAATCTGAATTTTTCCAAACTTAAAACCATTGCTGCGAGTCTGTCTAGGCTAGATATTTTCAGCCACACTATTTACATCCCCTTTATTTATTCCTGTCTTCCTTTATACACCTCAATCATATCCCCCCTAATTTTTGTTTTTTTGAGAGTGCGTTTCAGGGCCCTTGTCTTTTCCCATGGGGGAAGGTTTTGTTACAGATCATCTTTGTCATCTATTTTGGGACATTTTCCAGAAAAATTTATACCCTTTCCCTGAAATTACGGGGGCCCAAAAAATTTGTGCAGCTTAATCAAAATGAGGCCTAACCAAGGATGTTTGGTTAAAGAAAAACCTGAGGACCTATTTTTTTTGGGCCTTCTTGATTTGAAGCCAAGGTTCTATTAGGTTTATTGCGAAACCCTTATGCATGTTGTCTTGGTTTAAAGATTACTGAAACCCAGAACTCCTAAATTTTTTCGAAAACCCTTAATATTAAGATCTCCCATTATTTAGTTTTTTTGTGGCATGGTTATTGCCCTTTTCCAACATTTAGAACTTTGCTTTTTTTCTTATTAAACTGAACTCCCAAATTTCCCCGCCCCACTGCATCAGTCTTTTCAAATCTTCCTGGAGTGCTCAAATGCCCTCTTTAAAATGAAATCAAAGGCCTTTTTTGGGGGTCATCGGAACTTCCGATGTCGCTCTTTATGCCCTCATCTATGTCGTTTTTGTAGGATTGTAAAACAGCGGGGGGCCCCAACATTTGACCCTGTGGAACACCCCCTCGGGGCGTTCCCCCATTTGGTTTTTCCCCCCTTTTAATGAAAACTCTCTGTCCCTTTATTTGTCAACCATGCCTCTACCCAGGAAAAAATTTTTCTCCCCCTTTTTCCATGGGTTTTTAATTTTTTCCTCAATAGTTCTGATGTGGGCCCTGTCAAAACCCTTTACTAAAGTCCATATACAAAAATATCATTTTCCCTTTTACCGGGACCCCCCTCCTAAAATACCTGGTTAAAAAAATTTAAAATAAATTCGTAAGGCAGGAACGCCCCTTTGAAAAACCCCAATGCTGAGATTCTTTGGATTAATTTATGTTTTTTCAAGAGGGCTACAAAACTGCCTCGGCAATTATTGATTCCTTAAATTTTCCCCCCTATGGAGGTTGGGGCTTATTTGGTCTATAGTTCGAAGCTAAGGGGCCCGCACCCGTTTTGAAAATAGGTATCACCCTTTTTCCTTTTTCCCCTTATCTGGCACCATTTCCAGTTTGTAGTGATATGTTGAAAAAAATTTTGCCCAAGGTTTTGCCCAAGCTCCTCTTTACATTCCTTTAGAAAACCCCTTTCCCTTCAGTTCATCAGGGCCTTTGGGGGGGTTTTTTAGGTTTTTTTTTTTTTCTATTTGCCCATGGGGGCCATTTTCACTTGTGGGGCCCTAAGTGCCCCAGTTTATTATTCGATTCTTTTGGAAAATTTTTAAACCCCCATAATTTTTTTTGTTTTCTAATTTCCTTTTTTTTTTTTCTTTTTTTAAATGAATTTATCGATTTTTTAATTGCCCCTTCCCCTCTTTTGATTTGCCTATTTTATGCCTCTCTTTTGGGCCAAACAGATTTTTAATTATTTTTCATCCATTTAGGGGGATTTTTGTTTGATTGATTTCCTATTTTGGGAAAAATAAAATTTGGGTTTAAGGGAGCTTTGAACTATGCCCTGGAAAGCTTTATTCGGAAAACCCTCAAAAACCCACCCGGGCCCTTAAATCGGTCATTCCCCGTTCCCCCCACCTAAGTAATTTTTTTTAGTCCTTTTAAATTTTGCCAAGCGAAAGTCAGGGACGGAGACTTGATTGTCATTATTAGGGGAATTCCATGATATATTAAAACTGAGTGATTTGTGATCACTCTCCCCAAGCTCATCATTAACCTCAAGATTATTAATTAGTGTTTCCCTACTGGCAAGAACCAAGTCAAGGAGGTTATTTCCCCTAGTTGGCTCTGTCACAAACTGTTTTAAAAAACAATCCTGGATCGTGTCAAGAAAGTCACCCGACTCTAAATTTCCTGTCAAATTGCTCCAGTCAATCTGTCTATAGTTGAAATCTCCCATTAGCACAACATTTTCGTATGTAGATGCCTTACGAATTTCGTCCCATAGAAGTTTACTGCACTCCCTATCAAGATTTGGGGCCCTGTAAATCACACCCAAAATTAGTTTTTCTCGGCCCTCGAGAAGCTGTAACCAAACAGATTCAGTGGCTGACGCTTCTAATTTAATATCTTGTCTAACACAACAATTAAGTTGTCTCTGACATACATCGCTACTCCACCACCTTTCCTGTTGACCCTGTCAGTGTGGAATAATTTATAGCCTTGTATGTGACATTCAGAGGGCATCTCTCTATCTTTCAGATTGAGCCAGGTCTCTGTTATAGCAATAATATCTATGTTTCCTGCACTTGCAATTAATCTTAGCTCATCTATCTTATTTCTAACACTCCTGCTATTAGTATAGTAAACCTTAAGGGAGCTAGTCCCTTGCTGCCCTCTGCTGTCCCCCTTTGTTTGCTGACCTGTTTTTTTTGTCTTTATTTATAACTTCATGCTGAATGCCTCCAGAGGTTTTGTTTCCTTAGCTCTTAGTGTTTAGGTAAATTAAAATAGTAATGACCTGTTTACAAGACTAATGAAATCAGTTACCAAAGTAATGAATAGAAGCGATGCTAACAGCTCTTTGATGTTGGTAAAAGGCTCCCTACAAGAGAGGTTCCTTGATGCTGTTCAAAGCTCCACACATGAGGTTCCTTGTTGCTGTTAAAAGGCTCCCAGCAAGAGGTTCCTTGATGCTGGTAAAAGGCTGTCTTCAAGGGAAGTTCCTTGATGCTGTTAAAAGGGTCCCCTCAAAGGGAGGTTCCTTGATGCTGTTAAATGTTGCCTTCTAGGAAGGTTCCTTGATGCTATTAAAGGCTCCCCTCAAGAGAGGTTCTTTAATGTTAGTAAATAGTTCTCCTCAAGGGAGGTTCTTTGATGTAATCAGATTTGATCCGAGGATTATTATTATTATAATCAAGGGGAAGCGCTAAACCCGGAGGATTATACAGCGCCTGGGGGAGATGTGGAAAGCATTCAGGCTTAATTCGGGGAACTGGAGCACAGATCCAATTTCCTAAATCAAGAGCCCCTCGCCAACATCAAGGAACCTTCCTTGAGGGGTTTGATCCGAGGAAAGGATGTCATGTAGGGGGGGGTAATGATTTGGGGACAATGGGGGTAAGAGGAGGGAGTTAGTAGGTAGGGGACATGCAGGCGAGGTGGTAGGAGATGACAGGAGAGGTGAGCGGTAGGTAGGTAGGTAATGTGAGGTCACTGGTGACTACAACTTCACCTCTCATTACTCTACCCACCACTCCACACTACTCACCCTCTCACTACTTTAACTAAACATAAATAATGGAAATATAAGAAAAAATAATAAATAACGGGGACAGTGAATATTACTATTCTACTCAAACACAGTTTATTATTAAGTCCTTGTATAATAATATATTTGGGAACAGGAGTATATCATTGGGGTTTAGATAAATGGGGTGGTACACATAAGCAGTGAGACAGGGAACACAATCAACTTGACCAAAATGAATGTAACTTACAATATAGTTCAGAGGGCAGTTCATCACAGGAACTAAGCCACAGGTCCCAAGACCTACACAGCACGAGTACTGTGCCAAGCCAGTACTCTGCCCAATGCCTCCAACAGTCTCCTCCAGAGACTTCAGCAGCCTTCTCCCGAGCCCTGCACCCCAGCAGCAGCTCCGCTGGAAGTCTCTGCTCAGGAGCTCTGCACCCCAGCAGCAGCTCCGCTCGAAAATCTCCTGATCATGCTCTTCCTTGGGCTTTTATGGTGGTCCAAGCACCCTCCACAACCACGTGTACGACCTGACGCCTAGGTCTGATGCCGTCAAGAACAAAAGACCTCAGACGTGGGCGTGGCTGACAGACGTTTGCCAAGGCAAGGTGTGACCATATAATTGGTTAAATTAGGTCTCCCCAGAGACCTCACAAGCCCAGCTGAACTACATCACATCCCCCTTTCTCCCCCAATTTAAAATATCTGAGAACTAGGACAATTTGTCCTAGTTATTAGACTATTTTAATCCTAACCCCTTAATTCTATTACAATACAAAGACAAAATTATACATAATACAAAATTATTCAATTACATATATTTCCCTCAACCTCCTCAACTACCACAAGGCAGCATAATCAGTACACCTGGCAGTTGGCCAGCATAATAGTCGCTCTCTGGTGCAAAGCCTCCTTACCCGTCATTTCTCCTTAAACCTAAATATCGGGCTCCAGTGCCTTCCCTACTTCTACTAGAAATGCACTAGCCAATGCTAGTCACCCTCGCACGTTAACCATTGGGCCAAACCTCTCTAGGC